CCAGACGCTGCGGCTGGGGGGCCGCCGGGCGGAGGCCCGTCCGCACACTCGCTGCCTCTCTTCGCTTTGGACCCACTGCCCGGGACCAGCGGCCCTGAGCGGCCTCCTCTGAGCAGGGACACCTGCCAGGGACAGGCCCCCCCAGAGCGGCACACCAGCGCCCCGTCACCCGTGAGCACTTCACGCCCCAGCGGCTGAGCTGTATGGCCGCGTCACCCCAACTTGGAGCCCGAGCTCCGTGGGCCCCGTCACCATCTGCAGACCAGGACCCTGGTGGCCAGCTGTGGCCGGCCCCGCCCCAGCCCTGTGCCCTGTTGCTCCGCCCCCGCTGTGGCCCCACTGCCGCCAGTCGCCTGGCCTGGGGCACCCCCCGTCGCACCTCGGTTTGCAAACCACAAATGCACAGCTGCCCTGGGCGGGCGCCCTCCCTGCGCAGAGAGCCAGGAGCGCAACGACGCCGGCACCCCCCGCCCCCCCACACCCCCTCCCCCGCTCCCTGTTGGAGCAATAGCAGATGTGGGAAACTTCTAATTCTCCGGGACGGCAGCCCTAGGGGAGCCCCCGCCCCTGGCCCGCGGCCTTCCCAGCAGGTCCCAAACCAGGACTGGCCTTCCCCAAAGCAGGCGGCGTGGGCAGGCGGCCGGGGCTGGCACGGGCAGCTCTTCCCGCCCTGCACCTCCTACCAGCCACCGGCGGGACACCCACACCTGGGGCAGAGGCCCTGGGTCTTCCCTGGCCCCTCTCCTGGCCCAGCCGGCCACGGCGAGCGTCGTCGACCGTCACCCAGACACGCCCTGGCTGGTGCTGGCCGGGCAGCCTCGCCCAGCAGCGCCCGAGGCCAGGCCCACAGACGTGGGCTCCCTCTGGCCCCCCGCCCCCATGAGGGGCGGCTGCGGGTCTCTGGGAACACGGGCTCCCCCAAGTCCCTGGGTGTCCCCAGCGCAGGGCTCCGATGCCAGCGGTGAGTGGCGCGGTCAGCCTCCCCATCTGCCGCCGGCCTCGGTGTCCTGTGGGGTCAGCCCTGGCCGATGCCGGTGCAGGGGCCAGCCGGGGGGTCCCCACCTGCCCTGCCCTGCGCACGCCCCCAGCACACCCAGCCGTCTGCCGGGCCTGGCTCCAGTCCCCGGGTTGGGGGGGTCAGAGCTCGGGGCACCCAGGGCTTGTCTGGGGACCCCTCTGCTGTGCCCTGAGGAGCGCCCCTGGATGCTGAGCGCTCAGAGGGCTGGGAACAGAGGCCCCAGCGGCCGACGGGGAGAAGGCGTCTTCCCAGGCTCGCTGCCCGCTCGGCAGAGTCCACGGCCGGAGCCCTGGGGTCCCCTGGGCTGCGACTCTGTGCCCGGCTGGCCCTGACGGGAGCTGAACAAAATGGGGGCGCCGGGCCCAGCTGCCCTCTCCACCCCGCACCAGCACCGCCCTGCCTGAGGGCGTCCCGCCCCCCGCGTGCCAGGCCGGTGGGCCGTGCACGGGCTGAGCCGCAGGACAGGCGGAACGGGCAGACGTAAGACGGGGCCACGAAACACGCTGCGCCTTAGGCTTTAGCGAGGACGTGGAGGACAC